GGGGCACCTGCACTGGCCACTGTGGACAGACAGGGCCCTGGGCAAGATGGAGACTTGGTCTGGCCCAGTCTGGCCGCTCTGGTGTTTGGTGCCTTTTCGGAGCGACGGGCTCTAGATGCAAGGGGCCCAAGGCACTGGGCTGGACAGGACAAACAGGCAACGTGTGTTGGGCCCTCACGCTAGAGGCAGTGGCTCTACAGCCTGCTTAGGTCGGAGTCCCTGGGCACCAGGGCTCCCATAGCCAAGTGCCCAGGGAGGCAGCGCAGCCCTCCGGAAATCCAGCCTATGCCCCGCGCCTGCCGCACCCAGAAAGAGTTAATGTGCAGGAGAGGACCAGGTGTTTGCAGCGAGAGCGGCTGAGGCGGGGGGAGGTGCTGTGGGGGGGGGGAGAAGGGCTCAACCCTAAAGCCCAGTTCCCAGCGCTACTTCAGGGACTGGGGACCTGCCCTCAGGCCACTTGTCAGGCACCGGGCTCCCTCTCTGCACCGCACACGGTAAAGTCCTGCGCTCTGGCACCTGCAGCCTGCTGGGGGGAGGCTGCCCAGGGCCCTGCAGCGGCAGCGGTTCTGCTTCCCATGCAGCCAGGGGTAGCTCGGGGCTCCAGACTGTGGGGCTCAGTCAGCCCCAGCTTGTCCCTGTGCTGCCGGCGGCTGGCCAAGGCAGTTCCCTGCCGTGCACTCAGACCCAGCTGCTCATGCCAGACACTTTTCTGTTCTGGCCTGGGCCATGTGTGGGGCCAGGCTGTGGGGCTGGGCTGTGGCCTGGGCCGCTTGTGGGGCCGGGCTGTGGGGCTGCGCTGCATGTGGGGCTGGGCTGTGGCCTGGGCCGCGTGTGGGGCCAGGCTGTGGGGCCGGGCTGTGGCCTGGGCTGCGTGTGGGGCCGGGCTCTGCGGGATGGTTTCTCTCTCTCCGCTGAGGCTCAGCAGATGTAGGAAGGGCTCGGGAGACTCTCAGGCCATGGTGGGGAAACGTGCGGGCTGGCAGCAGGAGAGGGCCCCTCCCAGGCCGAGGCTGAACTCTCTGGGCTCAGCCTGAGGCGTCTCTGTCCCGGGGTGCTCATGGGGCAGCTGCCTGCCCACACTGCTGGCTGGGGCAGGCCCCC